GAGGTTGCTGTGAGCTGTGATGCCATGGTTCTCTACCCAGGGCGACAGCTTGAGGCTCTCTCTCAAAAAAAAAGAGGGGACGGGACGAGGGCGAGAGGGGGCAGTGTCTTAAGGTAGGCGGGACAGGGACAACTAACAGTGGAGGGGGCGGCCCAGGACGAAGAGTGGGGCCAGGTCGGAGAAGAAGCGGGGTGAAAGTTAGGGGTGCGGAACCGGCGGTGGCCAGGGGCTAAAGGCTAAATTGGGTCTGCGGAGGGGCCAAAGTACGTGCAGGTGTGGAGCGAGAGGGCTCTGGGCGTGTCGTGGTCATATTTGAAGGACTGGGGTCGGGTCTAGTTGGGTGGGATGGGACAGGGAAGGGGTCTACGAGGAGGGACGGGCCACAGTGTGAGTTGGGGTATCGGGAAACTGATCCCTGAACTCTGAGAGCTTCACCCTTCCTCTCCTTACCTTTACCTCACACCCTAGCCTTATGCTTTCCTCTGAACTCTCATGCCAGAAACTTATCCCAAGCCCATGCCTCACATTTCCAACCCTTGTGAATCCCAACCTTCACCTGACATATCCATCCAGAAGCTTCAACCTGAGACCCCAATCATCTGCCCTTAGATCCCCAAACCTACTTCATTCACCAATTCTAGCATCTTACACCCCCACCAACAGATTGTCTCCTGATTATCTACTCAAACCTCAACTCCCACTTCCCCAAACACCTGCTCAAATATTCTTCAAATCTATGCCTTACATCCCTAAGGCCATTCCACCAGACCCAGCCTACTCAGACCCCAAACTGTAGTCCCCCCCTTACAAATACCCCAACTTTCAGCCAGGGCTCAAAGTCATGCATCTGTATCATTTTTCATCTTTGTTCCTGTCTTCCTTTTTTTCCTCCCCTCCCTTCTTTCTTCTCTTACTGCTCTGGAGTTCATGCAGCCAAAGACCAATAATGCCTTTGTAAAACATGCAGAACTTTTGAAGGCAGCCCCCACCCCCTTGCCCACTGAAAGCCTGGAATCTCAGTCCTGCAAAGGGCCAAGCTCTGGTGATCCTCTCTCTAGCCTGGAGCTCTTTTTTTTTTTTTTTTCACTCTCTGAATCAGAAAACTTACCCTGTGCACCTTTAGGCAGGAAACAGGCATACAGATGGGGCTTAGAACCCTCCTTTCAGTCAGCACTAGGAGAAGGGGGTGGAAATGTGGCCAGAGACACCATAGGAGGAAGGAAGGGACCTGCTTGGGTGCACTCCTGCAGGTAGGACCAGACTAAACTGACCCATCTCCAGCAGAGGGCCAGGTAGGTACACAGTAGGTGTTCAATCATTGTGTAAAATGCTCAGGTGATGGCACTGTGTAAGTTAACAGACACCAAGTGCCGAAGGGTCCTGCTGACCTCTTCAACGCAAAGTAAGTTCTCAAAAAATAAATGTGTGCATGTGCATATACCCTGGTCCGCCCTTGAACTGCCTGCCACAGCAGCCTTTGTTCCAGATGAACCACATGCAAGCATCAAACCATGCTATTAGAGATCAACAGCTCACACACCCACCACTCATACAGCTAAAGTCAATGGTGTCCATATGTATATACACTTTATTCGCATCCAGATTTGACCCACATGTCAGACACACAGACACAGCTGAAGATAAGAAAGAAGAGGTTTGCAAGCCTCTTGGCTATTGCACACATGTAGTGTGCTCTGGACCCATAGCACTTTGGGTACACAAGTCACTACAAGATCATGCAACACAGGACAGCCAGTGCAAAGGCTCTAAGGCCATGCTTGGAGGGTTGCCTGGCAAGAAGAAATGAGGAACAGGGAAAGGGCAGAATGGGTAAGAGGAAACAGGAGATACTCTAGGTCACTGAGGGCTTTGGGGGTTATTTTTGGGATCATCTGTGTGAAATAAGAAGAGAGGCTCGGCACCTGTGGCTCAAGTGGCTAAGGTGCCAGCCACATACACCAGAGCTGGTGGGTTCAAATCCAGCCCAGGCCCACCAAACAACAATGGCGGCTGCAACCAAAAAATAGCTGGGCGTTGTGGTAGGCACCTGTAGTCCCAGCAACTTGGGAGGCAGAGGTGGGAGAATCATTTGAGCCCGGGAGTTGGAGGTTGTTGTGAGCTATGATGCCACAGCACTTTACCCAGGGCGACAGCTTGAGGCTCTGTCTCAAAAAAAAGAAAAAGAAAAAAAAAAAGAAATGAGAAGAGAGAAGCCAGGTGTGGTGACTCATACCTGTTATCCTAGCGCTATTGGGAGGCCAAGGTGGGAGAATCACTTGAGGCCAGGGGATTTGAGACCAGCTGGATCAACAGAGTTGAAAGCCAATCTCTAAAGAAAAAAAAAAAGGGTGAGGAGGCTCCAAAGCAGAAGAGCTATGGCCAACAACCCTGGCTCTAACAAGCTCCTTTGACAGTTGAGGTCATATCTTTAATAGGGACATTAATTGAGAAGCAAATAATCCAAGTCAAAATGGAAAGAGCTCATCCCAGGATGATGACCAGAGAGGGGTGAGGTGAGGCTAGGATCCTCGGCCAAGGTTATTAGCCAGAGTCCTAATGGCTATCATCACTGAGATGGAGTTGGGTGGGAGGGACCTTGAGGGTCCACACAGGTTGCCACATAGTTCTTGCACACACTTCATCCAATAATGGTGACCCATGGTCTGGTAAAGCCTGTAGTCAGGGACACAACAAGCAGCATCAACAGGCCTGGCCACCATCTGGCCGGCAGCTGGCACAACTCTCTCAAAGGGAGGGGTCTCACCACCTGCTGCCCTGCTCCAGACCAGCTGCAGGGCTCACAGCCCCAGGTCAGAGCTTGAGGCCTCCTTACAACTCCCAGCTGTTACAGAGGAGGAAAGTGAAGTCTCCATGGAATGCTATTGGTTCCTATGATCTCATGTCACTGAGGACACCATCCATCGTGGGGCTGTCACCACTGAGTGACTTGGGGCAAACTGCTAAAGTTCCAAATGTCTCCTTTTGCATCTCTGTAAAATACACGTGCCAAAACCTAATAAAGGTTCACCGCCTTTATTACCCTTAATTCTGCATCCACTTTTTTTTTTTTTTTTTTTTGTAGAGGTGAGTGAGGTCTGCCTATGTTGCCCAGGCTGGTCTTGAACTCCTGCCCTCAAGCAGTCTTCCTGCCTCAGCCTCCCAAATGGCTGGGATTACAGGTCTCAGCCACAGCATCCAGTCTCACCATCTGCTTCTTATGAGTTATAAGACCTCATAAGACCAGCTGACTATGTCTAAGTTTTTCCATCTTCAGAAAACAGGGCTGGGTGTATTGACTCATACCTGTAATCCCAGCACTTTGGGAGGCTGAGGGAGGAGGATCGATTGAGGACAGCAGTTCAAGATCAGACGGAGGAAGATAAAACCCCATCTCTACAAAAAATAGAAAACCTAGCCAGTGGTGATGAAGGAGGCAGGAGAATCGCTTGAGCCATGGAGTTGGAGGTTGCCATGAGCTATAATGATACAATGGCACTCTAGCCATGGGAACAGAATGAGACTCTGTCTTAAACAAAGAAACAAACAAAAATAGAAATGAGGATAATTGTGTGCAGCACTCAGAACAACTCAGGTGGTACCCAAGTCCATGTCAGCTGTCAGCAGTATGATTTCCCTGCCTGCATGCCTGTCCATTGTCTCCTAGCTCTGCTTGATTTTTCTCCCATATCTAACAAACTCTGAGTTTTACTTTTTCTGCTTTCTTTATATATATATATATTTTTTTTTTTTTTTTGAGACGGAGCCTCAAGCTATCCCCCTGGGTAGAGTGCTATGGCATCAAAGCTCACAGCAACCTCCAACTCCT